GTCTCTAAGGGCATAAAAGGGATCTGGAATCCAGGTAAAGGGAACTTCCTGTCCCCATTCCATTCTCCTCTTTAGAGCCTATTTCTGAACCTCTCATACTTTTTTTTTGGAGAGGTTTTTGCTATAGGGCGCGTGCACTCGCCAGACAGACAGAGACTGAGAGACAGAAAGCAAGAAATCACCCCCCAGGGAGGATGGTCACGCTGCAATCCCTTCTCCTCCATTCTCCTCTCGGGATCTTGGGCACGCACACACATGCGCCCAGCATGAGTTTTAAGCCACCGGGTCCGGGACGTGAACCGCTGTCGACTATGTGGGAGTCCAGAGAAATAGCCATTACACTAACTGCTGGTTCCCTCACACTTTTTAAATCAGAGGTTGTTGTCAGTTAATCTCACATATAGAGTTTATTAAGGAATAGGCTTTCTCAAGAGAGTTCATTTAGAAAACAGGAGATGGTGGGGCCAGCAGGTGGCGTGGTGGTTAAGGTGCTGGATATTCCCACGTGGCCGACCATGGGTCTAGTCCTCCACCTGGTGGCTTGCTTGCTTTCTCACTTTCTCTCTCTCTCTCCTCTATGTGTGTGTGTGTGTGTGTGTGTGTCTGGTCAAAATAAAATAAAATAAAGAGTGAGTAAATAAAATTAAAAATAAGTAATTATTAGAAAACAGGAGATGGCCTAGGAATCCCATCTGTTGATCTTTCTCTTCTACCAGAAAGCTAAACATTCATCATACACTGTCATGGGCCAAGTCACAACTGGGCCCACTCGGGCCCTCGATTTCTTTCATTATGTGAAGAAGACCAAAATCACTGTGGTCCCTTCTTGGGGTATGACTGCTCCATGTCTTTTCTATACAGGTAGGCAAGGCTTAACCACAGGGCTTCCCATACACTGACAAGTCCAAACTCTGTGGAGTAGAAGCTAATTTGGCCCAAATTCTAAAAGCTCAAGTGGAAAAAGAAGCAAAATAATGATCTGTTCCTTGGTGATTCTTACCCCTCCAACCACTCACTGTCTGCCTTTTAAATGAGTGGTAAGCTAAAAGGTTTTTTAGTGCACGAAACCAAACTCGAGAAAACAGCCTTAAAATCCAGCCATTTTCTAGTCATACTGGTTTGTTGGTATTTGAGTCTCAGTTTTCTCATCTATAAAATGGGACTGGTAATACCTACCATATACCGATATGAGTATTTTATAAAACTATGTATGTGAGATGCCTTGCAAACAGCCTGATATGTAAAAGGTCCCTGTTTCAATATTCCTTAGGCCTGAATGCTTATGATAGGAAGCTACAATACCTACAATTTCTGTGATTCTGTAGAACTAATATTGGAGCATGTCAACTTGGAAAAAAAAAAAATTTAAATTAATCTTCCAAGGACTGGAACAGAATTTTTCCTTTAGTGCATTCCTGGTTGCTTTGTCCAGTACTGGCCCTCTCCCTCCATCTGAATCAGAAACTATACTTTTTATATTCCTTTCAGCTGCTACGATTGTCACGCAGTGATTCCCAAGGTAATAGAGGGTCTCTCTTCTCAGCTGTGTTTTCTTTCTTTCTTTCTTTTCCCCCCTTGACAACAGAAAAAAAAAGCACCATCCGCCTGTTAATGTTATATTCTGGCAGTAATGAAGCCACTAACATGGGAAGAGAAAAAAATAAATTGACAAGAGCCAGAAATGAGATGTTGCATAGCCCTTGCTTGGTTGTATTTCATGGATACAGTGTGTTCTGTATTGTCAGTGACTGTGGTCAATGCTTACTTCTCAAATAATCCTCTTTTCAGTGCACTTGGCAGATTGATTGCATCAATGGCCCCAATTTCTTTCTCTCTCCCTTTACGCTGTGACTTTGCAGTTTCCCTCAAATAAAGAGGCAGTACTTAACCCATTTCTTGCATTTGAACTCGGCCATGGGTTTTAGACCATTCTCTGTTGCTTAATAATGGAATACCTGAGTCTGGGTGATTTATAAATAACAGAAGTTGAATAGTTTATGGTTTTTGGAATTCCACGGTCATGAGGTCACATTTGGTAAGGGTCTTCTTATTGGTGGGGATTTGGCAGGGTTCTAAGATGGTACAAGGTGCAACATGGTGAGACACAGCACTGAGCACATGTGTCCATGTGTCTGCTATTCTAAAGCTACCAGGAGTCAATCAGGGGCCCCACCGTGATGAGCTCATTCAATCCCAGTCATCTCCCAAAGGGCCCACCTTTCAACACTATAATTGGATTAGGTCTCTACCCTCTTCAACACCATTACAATAGCTCAGCAGATTTCAATACATAAATTTCGGGGGTGGGTGGGAGGGGGGACACATTGAAACTGAAGCACCATGTGAGTTGCCTTGACCTGGGGATGCTGGTGGTCATAATGTAAGAATAAGCTTTAAAAAGGACTGGTGTGTTTCCACAAATTCTGTGGGACCCCTGGGATTACCATGAAAATGCCAGGTCAGCCTGCTGGGGGGATGTAAGAAATGCATGGAGGAAAACTGAATTGTCGAAGCCAAAGTCTTTCTAGATTATCCAGCTCCTGCCGGCTGACTACAGATGAGGAAACTGGCCCGTATTAACAGAACCATGCTGATGACCCTTAGGCTTCTCAACAAAAATGTTTACTGTGGTAAGCCACCGAAGTTTTGTGGTGGTTTGTTACACGGCAATAACTAACCGACACAGTGCATTTACCTAAATGTCTCAAAGCTTCTCCAATGGAGATGATGAACAAATTCCTATAATTCAAGTCTCACTGACATTATTACATCATTTACAGCCTGGTGAGTTAGTTTGAAACTTCCATTCTAGAAAAGCTGCCAGTTAATTGTTCCCTAAATACACTTTGCATATCCATGCCTTTGCCTTTGTACATCTAATTTCTCCTTTTTTCTCTTTCCTGCCAATTTGAATCATATCAAATTTCCAAGGACCTACTAAAACCAGCCTTTTCTGAATGACATTCTGTGGCTGGTGGCCC